AGCCAACGTCCAAGGGCTCTTGGACACTGGTTTCCTGCTGACGGGGACCTGCCTCCTAGTCCCTCAGGGCCCGGCCACCCTGACGGTCCTGAGCAGCGGCAGCCCTGCTGACCCGGGCACTGCCCATCCAGTAGTAGCTGGGGGCGGCTTGCGTTCTCTTTTTGTTTGAGAATCTAATCCCAGTGAAGTGGGGTGAAGAGTATGAGTTGCAATGTTCTTTTCACAACTTCTACCTAAATGAGAATTTAAGACTCCCCAGACCCCACGTCCTCCTCCTCTCTGTCCCCTGTCACAACAAAACTCTTGAATCGGGAGGTCTAAACAGGCTGTTTCTACTTGCTCATCTCCCATTAACCTGCCTTCTGTCCTCACGACACACTTGAAGATGATCGTGTTAAGATCACCAGCGTGCCCTGGTGTTGCCAGGGCGTTTCTCGTTCTGTCTCGCTGGCCCTGGTCTCTGCGGCACTGGCCAGCGAGTGTTCCCTCCCTGAAGGAACCCCCTCTCTGCGCTGCTTGACCCCATCCCCAATGCCGGTTCTTCTCTCCTTTCCTGCCTCCTAGCCGCCCTCTACCTAACTTCTGAATGTTGGGTTCCTCAGGGCTTGGGCCTACTACCTCTTCTCTTTTCTAAGTGATTTCACCCAGTCCTACAGCTTTCAATACCTTCCACAGGTTGACAATTCTGGAATTTATACCTGCAGCCCCCAGAATATGTCCACCGAGCATATGTCCACCAAGACATACTTGCTTCAAGTACAATGTACTGGACATTACCGCTTGGCTAACACACATCCCAAACATGTCCAAAGGTGAGTTACTAATTTTCTTGGCAAACTCCTCCCAAATCTTCCTTCTCTCATATTCTCCACCATCTCAGTATATGGCATCACCCTCCACTCAGCTGATTAAGCCAGGAATCTGAGTCATCTTTGACTCCCCCTTTTCTTTCGTCCACAGAGAAGCCATCAGTAGGCCCAGGTGGTTCTACCTCTAAAATACGTTCTCCATCAGCCCACTTCTCTATTGCCCCCACTCAGGTCCAAGTCTCCAGCGTCTTTTGCTTGAGTTAGTTATACTCTCCTAATCTGTCTCCACTACCACACTCATCGCCTTCCAAGTGACTTGTCCACATGGCAGGAAGAATGCTCTTGACAAGATGTAAGTCATAGCATGTCACTCTCCTGCTCTGAACATCTTCAGTTCTTCCCATTGCATTTAAAATAAAGCCCCAAAGCCTCACCACAGCCACCAAAGCCTTGTCTCCTGCTCACCTCTAAACCTCAGCCCATGCCACTCTATCCCTGGAGTGTTTGCTTCTCTCCAGCATATATAAGCCCTCTTCCCATTCTTAGAATAGGCTAAGTTCTTTCCTGCCTCTGGCCCTCTGTACTTGCTATTTCCTCAGCCTGCAAAGCCCAGGTTACCTGGCCTCCAGAGAGGGACCTGATGACCACCCTATGTGGAGGAACAGACACCTGTGATACTCTCATGGCACCTGGCTACCTGTCTGCCCAGCAGACTACAAGCTGCCTGAAGGCAGGGACCCTTCTATCATGCTCCGGGTTGCAGCCCCAGTGCCTGATACACAGATGATCAAAACTTAACAGTGATCTAGATATGGGTCCTTTCACCTATAGGATTCTTAAGGGCCTATCTTTATATGCCACAGTTCCCCAAAAAAGGTATGCAGTTTAGGGTCTGCAGCACCCCTGAAAGTGTACTGCTAAAATCTCCTTCAAGACAACCAACCAGCTGTGGGAAGTCTAGTTGACTGATAGCCCCTGCGGTTGCCTGTTTGGACCCACTACTGTCTTCACGCTAGGCTATGCTCTCCACCCCCTCCCCAGGCTGCCCCCAGCCACTGACAGCTGAGCGAGGGGACAGTGCTGGCCCATCCCTGCCCCACACGGGATTTCTCTCCTGGGCAACTTTTGAGGGCACCCCATGGGTCTGGCAGAAGCTTTCTCAGAACTGCACTGCAATCTGAGGGTTTTGCTACCCCATTCTTCCCTTCTTCTCGCCTTTCTCCCTTCACACGTTTGAGAACTGCACCACGGTCCAAAGGCTTTTATAGGCTATTCCCGCTCTCCCCCTTTTATCCTTCATAGGCTCTCCCCCTAATCTGTTAAAAATTCCAATCCTGTTTTGACATCAGCTTCCCAGGGGCCCCTTCAGAACCTTGAAAGATTTGAGACTATAAACCACGGTCCAGAACAACAAACTCTCCTATTTGACACTATGTATAAAACCATCTGTTCACTTCCCACACCCCTTTTCCAGGCATGACCTTCAACTAAGAGATTAAAAAATACCACCTATGCCCTGGAGCCCTGGTTTACCCCCCCCCAGGGCTCCAGATCACTACAGGTAGTGATCCAGTCCAGATTTCATTTCACATTTGTTCCCACAGGAGAATGGGTAACCACTTGCAGACCTGATCAATTCTGGCACAACTCAGGTCCATGCTCCAGAAAGGCAGCCTTAAATCCATGCTCAGGCATCTATAAATCCCTCAGTCACCAACTCCCGCCCCTGTTTTGGTGCGAGTGACATAATGCTTACAGCAGATAGTGACTAGAAAGCTTCAGTAATTCTGTGGAGGATAAAACCTGCTCTCTTCAGGAAAGAGAACCATATGTGATTTCATAACTTGTATGTATATACAAGTATATATGTGGCATTTCTTTGCCTTCCCTGATTGAAAATCAGTATTTATTTAGTCCTGCTCCGTGTAAAATCCATGAATACCAAAACTGTGTATCTGCTTCATTGCTGTACCCCATAAAGGCACTCAGTAATTATTTGTTGAGTAAACTGTCCTATAGGTTCTTTCACGTGATCTCATTTAAGCCTCAAAACAACATTGGGAGGTAGGTATTATGTTCATTTTACTAAAACTCAGAAGGATCAAGTGACTTTCCCAATGTTACCTGGCACTCTCCAACAATTCAGACACCAAACGTTCAAACAGCTTATATGGGGTCAGATCACTAGGTTGCTTATTGTGTTTGGCTTACATTTATTGAATACTCTGCTCCAAGCACTTAATAATACTTTTATCACATTTAAGAGGTAATTAACTTTTTATCATCCTTATTTTATGGCTACGTTGAATGACTTGCCTAAGGTCACATAGGTAAGGGGCAGGGCTGAAACTCAAACACAGGTGAGTTCAGAGCCTGTGTTCTAAATTCTCACACCACACTGCTTCATTCCAAATGACAAGAAACAATCACTGCCCCCCAGACTTTAAAAGAACAGATAGCTACATCTTTGGGAGACTAACAAAAGGTCTGGCAGAAGCAGTAAACCACAGGGCAGAATTACATTTTACCTTTCCCTAAAAGAAAAGTAAATGGATCTCAGTGTTATAACAGTAGCTTGGGGAGATCAGGTTTGACAGCGATCTTGTCATTGGCAGTATTCTGTTGACACTGACACTACATGACTTAAGGTACCCACGTCAAGATCTAATGATAAAAGGACAAAACAAAACGGGCAATGTCCTCTCAGGCTGCAGTGGAAAAAAAAAATTGTGTATATGAAAAAACGAGAAGGTACGACAGTACAGAAGAGTTCAGAGAGCTAACCAACCATGTGATGTTCTGCCTGAGGTTTGGTGTTCCCAGCAGTTTGGCATTTGACCATTTTACTCATACATCACATTCCTATACTCAGTACTAAGAAAAAATTTGCCAAATGTAGGTTTTTGGATTATCCACTGCTGTGCCATTCAGCCATCCTTGAAAAAGACAGGGATGAACATTCAAAATATGGTATTTAACAACTAGTAGGGCATGGGCTAATCAGACCAGATCCTGGAGCAGTGCTGGTATGTGGTCCAACAAGCCCCTTCTCTGCCAGGTGTCACGCCTCTAACTGCTGCATCATGAGGAGGCTGGTGGGGGGCTGAGGGACAGGATGGCTGAAGCAGTAGGCATCACTTGGGGTAGTCAGGCCAGTGGTTATTCCTAACTAGACAGAAGTATTTTAATATGGTAACTGGCAGGGCCATACAGGTTGGTACGGCTAAAAATCGGCTCTGGACACAGGTTAATTGGGCACCAACTAGTTTCAACCCTTTAAGTGGAAATGTTTGACACTGGACTTTTTCCTTATTTTACTATAATTATTTTAATAAAGAACCAGCTTAGAATATGAGAGAGCCAAACCTCTATGTTTGGACTTAAAGGTCACTTCATTGTCTTGATGCATTAAAAGTATTTTCTTCGAAATGCATTTTTCCTTTTAATCTGTCTTCTCCCAGGAATCTGATGGTAGTCACAACAGCCCAAAACAAGTAGATTTATTCTCTTAGGCTTGTAGTTAGACTTTCAAGAACCAAACCAAAAAAATACTAGTAAACTTCACTTTCTATGGTCATGTTGACATTCTTTATGGAAATGGCATTGAAAGTTGAGCTGTGACATCAAGCTGCAGGCCTCCCTCACACTGGGAGCTTTTGCATGTACCAGCAGTCTGTGGCATTTTGTTAAAGTGGCAGGCTTTCTTATTAGAGCCTAACACAAGCCAATTAAAATCTGGTTTTATACAGAGTTGGTGAGCTTTGTAGTTAGAGCTTGCAACGTGTTTTAAATCACAGTGACCCAGTTTAGTTCAGGAGCAGTCTTTGTCAATAGGTTGACCACTGGTCATAGGACTTTCTAGCTGTAGACAATGCAAACGATCGTTAAAAAATAGTGGCATTTTGAATTTGAAATATCAAAACACAAACTAATCAACCCACCAGCCAACAAAACCAAAACAAAAGGAAAACCACTTGCAAGGTATAACTGAAAAAATGAGGGATTTTACTTATTTTATATCTGTACGTATTGGTTGAATTGTTTATCATGAAGAACTAAAAATGACCCTCAACAAGACTAATAAAAAACAAGATAACTTTGAAGAAAAGTTGCAAAGCATTTAAGAGCTAAGGTATTTCCCACTGCTATTCCTTCAAAATATCACAATCTTCAAATGTTTGGAACACTCACACGTATACAGACTGGATGTCCCGGTCCAGCAATGCATTTGCACAAGTGCCTCTTCCAGGGAGTGGTACCTTGTGGACAGCTAACAAGAAACACATTTTTGTGTTTTAATTTCTACCAAGTACAGGAACAGAGCTCAATGCTCATTACCCAATAAAGCAGGTGGTTATCCTCATTTTAGAGAGGAGGACTGTGAGATTCAGGGATGTGACTTGAGTTTACTATTCAAAGTCACTTAGATTCTAAATGGCAGTGATGGATTTGAACCCAGGTTTACCTATAGGCTGAGAAAGAAGCCTGTGCTATTTCCTCTAATCACTGACTCGAAAATATTTTCTTCCTGCTACAAGACACAGGCCATTTGACATTTGCATGTCTGACACACAGACAGGCATATCTAGGGCCATACATATGATTCATGACTTGGTGGCTTTAATTGGGTTCTTTCTTTCCCTCTGGAGAGAGCATGCTGAAATGCAACTAAGTGGTATTCTTGTGAGGGACAGTCTTGAATCCATCCTAATTCACAAACAGTCTACAAACGCTGGTACATAAAACAATCATGAGTTAACATCCAGCTTTTCACAGCTGGAAACCACACACTAGCACACTGCACACCATCCACCCCTCAAAGGGCTTTACACCTGAACAAAAGCACTTCAATGTACTTTTAAAAACTCCTCACAGCGCTACCAAGAGCTTCCAAATGGCTCCTCCACCACTTCCCCAGGCAAATGTTCCGGACACACAGCCTTGTAACCAATGACAGCCAGTGTGTGTATTTTTAACTCAGAAATTCCTTGTAGGAATTTTTTCAAGAAAATAGCCACTGTTACATTTGTTGATTTAAAATAGTAAAATGGATCTCAGGGGTTAAACTGTGGCCAGAGAGGATATCACAAGGTTCGTATCTCCTTGTTCAACCAACAGCGAATGAGTAACTCGAGGTATGCTCTATTTTCATGCTACCAGTGAAGGCTGGTACATTTTATACATCCCTGAGGTTGGAAACATCCAAGAGCATGGGTTCAGAGGCTATATTTAAATATGGCCTATTTAGTCATTTCTAAATATTTTATGTCAACATTTTAATTATAAATTAAGCCTAAAATTATAAATTAGGCCTAAAAAATGAATGCCCTCACAGTTCCTTTTAAACTGTCAGCACTTCTTCCTGTCAACTACAAACAGGTTTCTCCGGCCATCAGTGCTTTAGGTCTCTCGGAAAAAGGCCTTGGTGGCGTGGATAGACGTCTGCCATGTGACACTGCCTTGCTTTTCCAGTCAGTGGTCTACACCTGCTCCTTCCTTGCCACTCAGCTTCCATCCCTTCTAGTTTCCTGAAACCACACTCCCTTGACCTCAGGGGAACATCTGGAGGATGAACCCTGCTGTTAAGAGTATGTTTAATAAACGCTGGCACAAAGCGGCACTCACTGAATGAATGGTAGTTCACAGCCCTGACTACCCGGCTTTTTTTTTTGCTCACTCTTCGCTTCTGCGGGCCTGTATATCCTGGTACCCCTCCTACCCCTTCGACTGCTCTTTCAGTTACGGTTCCTAGCTCCTTCTCTACCCATCCTCTAAAAGTGAGGGCTTTCCAAAGTTTTATACTCAGCTGCTTGTTCTTTTGACTATATACTGCCTTACAGATATCATCTATTCTAGGTTTCAAAGATCACCCTATACATATTAATGCAAATCTCTCTTCAGTCCTGACTGCTCTTAAGTCCCAGCAACATGTTCAAAACTACATGTGCTAAATACTCAAAAAAAGTTGCCACCCGCCCCTTACCAGTCTACTTTTCAAGGGCATGCATCTTACATTCTTCACATGCTTTGCAAAACATTTCATACATAGCATGGACCCTTCTTACATTTCATATCCTTTTATTAATTTACATAGATCTATGCACCTGTAAGTTGCTAGAAACTCTTCAGCTTAAAAACAAAAGGGAAATTATAAATACATTAGTAGCGTATAGAATTTTTTTTACTGACAGAACTTGCTATTTAAGTATGGAGTCCACTGACATCAAGAATGGTCTTGACACACTATATTTATATTATTACAATACCATTTGCGAGGTGATAAAAAGAAGCACCTCTAAACTAAGTTTGACATCTAAGGGCCTATTAAAATACTGACCGTAAATACACCCTGCTGTCAGATGCACATCTCAAATCCAAATGTGATGAAGGCGTCCTGTCTCCGATCCTCACTCAATATTCCCATTTAAAATTTATAAGCAACTGAGAAAGATGAGGACAAATAAAGATCAAGCAGTTTATATGTTACAATAATAAGAGCAGTTCTTCCCACTACTTTTTCTATTTTCCTTTTGATAAAACTTGATTGAAATACAGAACAATCCAAGCGCCCCCAGCACTGTGAATTACTTGATATCACAGAATTGCGGAGTAAGAAGAGATCTCGGAGCCTATCTACTTTACCTCCTGCCAAGTACTAGGAAATCCGGATGCACTGTCCCAGACATGATCAGCAACACCTTTGCTAAGAACTTTGGGGAAGAGATGCTCATTCCACTAGGTAAGCCATTCTGCTACTGGATAGACCCAGGCATTGTAATGATTCTTCTTACAATGAGGTCATCTCCACTCATGGCTTCAGATCTGCCCCCTAGGACAGCAAAACACTGCAAGGGAGATGCCTGGAAAGCTGCTAACACGGGCTACCGTCTACTCACCATCCTCGACCTCCTCCTCCTTTGAATGGAACCTAGCTAAGCAATGTTTCACTTAAAAACAACAAAGACACCCAAAATCAAACACCAGTTGCAAATGAGAACTGGCAATCAATGAATGAAGACGGCTTTGTGTAATTAATGTGTTCTAAACCAAGGTTGCATTCCCACCTTTTAAGGCAGAGAAATCATGCTTGACCCATAAAAAGCCTGCAATAAACTAACACATTGGCTCTCACGTGAAAAAATGCCAAGACGGATTCCTGTCCATATTTTGGACTTGCAAATGCAATTTCTAAAAATCCTAACTAGATTTACATTTCTCCCACCTAAACTGTTTCTTGTTGGTTTTACTTGTGTTTCAGCCCCAAATCTTTCTGAATTGTAATTCTCTTTTAGCTTCCCTCCATACTTCGTGTCCCCCTAAACTGATCACATGCGCACGCACGCATGCATGCGCGCACACACGCACACGCACACACACACACACAAATTTAAACTGGACAGGACAGAGCTTTATGGAACTTGACATGTTGACAAATAACTATTAAACACATCAAAACAGAAGTTCAAAATTAGTTTAAGTCCACTCAAATGTACTATTGCCTATATGAAATCTTGCTATCACGATTACAATAAATTACTCTGCCTTGCTGAAATTAAGATATATTATCAAGCTGTCCCTTGATTTCTTCAAGTGTACTTTTAAATGCATCTCATAAAAGGACAAATATTTTGCAAACTATAAAGTATTCTACATGTACAGCATTGCCTGTAACAAGCACTCTTTATGGCTTAAGTTATCTAAAAAAGTAAATCCAAAAAAGTTTTTTAAAATAATAACCCACAGGGCTTCCCTGGTGGCGCAGTGGTTGAGAGTCCGCCTGCCGACGCAGGGGACACGGGTTCGTGCCCCAGTCCGGGAAGATCCCACATGCCGCGGAGCGGCTGGGCCCGTGAGCCATGGCCGCTGAGCCTGTGCGTGCAAAGCCTGTGCTCTGCAGCGGGAGAGGCCACAACAGTGAGAGGCCTGCGTACCGAAAAAAAAAAAAAAAACCCACAAAAGCAATGAGAATGGTTTCTTGCAATTTAGGGAAAGCTCCATTTGAAAACAGTTGCATGCTCTGCCATAAACCTTCAAGTAGGTACAAAAATAAGCCAATTCCTTTTCTTAAGGATCCTAAAAGAATGGTACAAATAATGCTGAAAAAAGACTACTCCAAGTGGCTATGAGAGTTAGAAGTGGACAGTGTCAGGAAAAGTTAGAGACAGGCCTCAAAGGAACAGAAGAGAAGAAAGGTGGCACTCTAATTAAGAGGCAGAGAAATTGTGTGGAGGCAAGAAAGGGGTAGTGAGAGTTACTCAGGAACAGCAAGCAATTCACTGCAGCAGGAGCATGGGATCAAATACGGCAGTGGAAGAGGCTGGCTGCTAAGCATGCGCTGGGGCCAGATGTGGAGGACTCAGTCACAGCGAAGGCTTGTGTGTGCACCTGGTGGGCAAGGGAGACACCTAACAGCTTCGGAGGAAGGGGGTCTGACTGGAACTACACATGAAATTAGTCCAAGTGAGGAAAAGGGAGGTTCACAGTAAAAAGATAATGTACGTATTTACCTAGAGATTAAGAGCACATTTACAATCCTGCACATCCTTTAATATTCTCTTTTGTGCTTTCTGAAAATCAAGACACAAATTACCTATCTCTGGCCTTCTGGGTATCTTCTCATCTGTATCACTTTCCTAGAATGACAGTAGTTCAGATTCAACAATGTCAAGTTCTACAAATTCTTATAGCTTTCTCAGTTGTAATTAATCAAGGCCAAGTGAAAACTCAATGAGACCATGTGTCCCTTTGGTATTTCATCATATTGGGTTTGTTTCATTTTTACAGTGAGACTTTTACAAAATACATGGCATATAAATAGGACTTGCTAAGGCAGCGCTACCCAACACCCATTCCTTGTTATTGCTGTTTAACTCAGGAACTTTGCCCTTCTAAAATTTAGTCTCCTGACACGATTTTTAACAGTTTGTAGTCATGTTTCATGTTTATTGTGTACTCCTCTTTCCCACATTCAGTACATTTTAAAAAATGCTGACCTTCAAGAAAAAAAAATCAGCATTTGAGTTGAGTACCGAAGAAGGGATGGTATTACATCCACATGAAGAGACTGGGCTTAGATGGAGAGAAGAGAAAGCATTTCAGTTAGAAAAAGCACAAGCAGAAACAGGCAAAAAATAAGAAGGGTATGTGTGAGACACATTATGTACTGAATACTACATTTCTGTAGAAGGGCAGGGGAAAGGAAGAGAGTGGGAGGAAAGCTAACAGTTACTGAGCACCAATGACTCGGCAGGTACTCATACTCAGGATGTCATTTACTCCTTAAGTCAGAACAATCCTTTGAGCTAAGTATTAGTTTCTGCATTTTATAAAGGGACTGAAGATACCGTAGCTCAGAAAGGTGAAATAACCTGTCCGAGTTCACTCAGCTAGGGAAAAGAAGAGCTAAATGTGAACCTAGATGTTGACCTTTTTCTTATGGGTCATTTAACTACAGCTTTAAATAATCTCCTATTTAGGAAGGAACTCTGTTCCTATCAGAAATACTCCTGGCTATTCAAAGCAAGGCTTAAATACAGTCTATTTTGTTACTATGAAAATCCATATATGGAATCATGAAATAACAGAACTTAAATGCAGATGAGAAATCGAGAGAGACCTAGAAACACGAAAGGCAATTTTGTTACTGTAACTTGAACCAACTTAACATACTAAAAATTACTGTCCTATTTCTTCATTAACAGGCAGGTATCAATAAATCAAAAACAACTTTCATCAGCCCTGAATAGAAAATATGCATTAAATGCAAACTGTGGTTTTATACTTTTATCTGTTAAGATGTCCAGCAAACAGTGTAGACAGATCCTATAATTTTTGTACTTTGTGTAAAATAAGTTATGGGTTTCACAACCCTAGCTATCTATTGTCCCCTGGCAAGTTCCAGTTCTTCTTAGTTTACTGTGGATAGCAGACTGAAGAGGACCCCAACAAATAAACTGGCAATGGACAATGCACAAAAATAGGAACTATAAACGGTTAACAAATTAAGATGTTCAAGCTCCACTAGAAATTAAGGAAATATGCCATCCTTAAGCTACCAAATTCATGGAAAAGTGCTAGTATTCAAATGAAGGTGATGCAAAAACATTCAAGGTCAAGTGTAACCTGCTCCCCTATACTATCCAGCCTTCAACTCAGGTTCTCTCATCTTCTATTTTAATAAACTACTACACATTCTTCAGAATCTCATCCCCTATCTCCTTGCAAGAACTTTAAAGTTTATGATGCTTAATTCTAAACGGAAATAAAGCCTTCTGTATAAATTTGAGAAAACCTAAATGATCAACAACAGGAGAATTGTTAAACAACACAAAAACCTATAGCAAATCTATGCAATGGATCATCATACAGCCACAAAAGTTCACTTACACGAAGTTTATAACATGAAAAAGAAAACTCCATTTGTTATAATGTGAAACGGCAAAGTACAAAAACATAATGTGCAAAAAATGACATGAAAGTATGCATTAACTTAAAAAATATATTTGCATGTATGCATATGCACATGTGTGTGTATGTGAGAGAGAGAGAATATTCACCAAAAAGTTTCTGTCATGGTGAATTTTTAAAATTCAACTTTAATATATTCTCTAGAATTCAATACATAATAAAAATGTATCACTTTTATGATGAAGTAGACAACAAATATCACAAAGAAACATACTGTGTGTAGCCTGGGACCATTTAGAGCAGAGGCAAACAGCCCTAAACACAGCTCTCTGGGTCCTAGCAGTACCACTGCACTACAGCAGAGCAAACTTCTACCTGTAAATCTGCATTCTTAATGACCTTGAATGATCCAAAGTTAAATTATGGACAAGGAAAGTGCAAGAGGTTGTAAAAAAGATCTCTATCAAAACAGTACCAACAGCATATCTCACTGTTAAATATTAATCCTCCTAATAACCTAATAACATGTCACTCCCCTGTCCCCAAACCCTGAAAGTATCCCCACAGTGTTGTCAGTAACATGAACTATTCACTGCAGGGTGTGCACATCGCACAATCCAGTCCCATTCTAATGCTGCTCCCCGCTCTCACCCCATGGGCTCAAAGGCTCTCATTCACAAGCCTTATGCTCTGGTTGGCCTACTCACTTTCTCTCAAAGAAACTTTATGTACTTGCCTGAGCTTTTGCTCACTCAGCCACCCTCACTTTTCTTCCCCTATTCACTCCTCCTCCCCCCCAGTGACTCCCCATCCTTCCAGGCACAGACCAAACTCTCCAACCCACACATCATCTCCTTCCTGTATATTCCTGTAGAAGTTATTGCCTATAAGACACACAAAGCACTTAACCCTATAGCCTAAAATTACGTAAATAAATATGTTATCTCCTAAAATGCATTTTAATTTCTAAAGATTAGGGACCTTTGTTATATATTTTATAATAATAAATTGCTTTTATATAATGCTTTAATTTATAAAGCAACTTCACATATATTACTCTCAACAAATATGTTGGTAACTTAGAATGCCTTAAGAAAACAGAAACAAAAAAAATTTTTTTAATGACAAAAGATTTTTAAAAAGAGAACACTTCAATAATGATGGGCAGAAAAGTACTCACTCAGAGCCCACCACCTAAAGATCTGGGAGAATGATACTTTTCTTCCCCACAACCCACAGGTATATTTAGCTAATGGTGGGAAAAAGTTCAACATTCATAATTAAAAACAACAAAACAAAACAAAACGACCCTCATACCCAGTGTCCAGATCTTGGTTTCTAAATACCATTCTCCAATAAGAAAAATACCATTCTCCAATCAGGTCTCTCTGGAGAAATAGTTCATTCCAGAGCTGGGGCAGGGGACATAAAAGATCAGCCAGGAGCTTCTTGTAGTAATAAGGAAATGCTCAAAAAGGGATGGGGCATGTCAAAGGGACGTGTGAGCCAATCTGAAAGAGCTCCCAATGGCCAAAGCCAGAATAAACTGAACAACAAAATAAATAAGAGTATTGGACTTCCCTGGTGGCGCAGTGGTTAAGAATCCACCTGCCAATGCAGGGGACACGGGTTCGAGCCCTGGTCCGGGAAGATCCCACATGCCGCGGAGCAACTAAGCCTGTGCGCCACAACTACTGAGCCCGCATGCCACAACTACTGAAGCCTGCGTGGCTAGAGCCCGTGCTCCGCAACAAGAGAAGCCACTGCAATAAGAAGCCTATGTATCGCAACAGAGTAGCCCCCGCTCACGGCAACTAGAGAAAGCCCGCGTGCAGCAAGGAAAACCCAATGTAGCCAAAAATAAATTAAAAGATAAAATTTTAAATAAAAAATAAATAAGAGTATTGGATTATGAGTCCATATGGGTATAAATAAGTGACTGAATAAATAAATGCGGAGAAGAAACAAATCTTCCTTATGGAAGAATTCTAAATTATCCCCTCCAGCAGGTGGAGCTAAATCCCTACGCCCCTTGAGTAAGCGCTGGACTTACTTTGAAAAGATAGCATATGGAAAGAAAAAAATAGTAACTTTCCATTGGAGAAACCTGACAGACAGCACCTTAACCAAGTGACAGAGGCTAACATCACTAGTGATGTCATGTGGGGATCATCCATCCCCAAGATGATAAGAAAGGCACTTCACCTTTGCGGTCTTCTTTCCAAAAACCTGCTACCCCAATGTAACCGTAAGAAAAACATCAGACAAATCCAAATTGAAAGACATTCTACAACATACTTCCATGCATCTCAAAATTGTGAAGGTCGTAAAGAATAAAGTGAAGACTGAGAAACACGGACCACAAGAGACCAAGAAGAAACGATAACTAAATACAATATGATGTTCTGGACTGGATCTTGGAACACAAAGGATATTATAGATAAACTGGAGTTGATGGTAACATAACAAGGATGGTTCCTTAGTTTTGACAAACAAAATAATGTAAGATTATAACATTAGGGTAAACTGAAATTGGGTGAGGGGATACAAGAACTCCCTTGTACTATCTTTACAACTTCTCTGTATGCCTGTAAGAGTTCATAAGACAGAAAATTTCAGAGATCCAGGTCAAATAATATGTAGAAGCATCCTGTATCAAATCAAAAGATTTTCCCTAAGTTTTCAATACTGTTAGCCTAGAGGATGTCTAACTTGCAGCCAATGCTGCAGACTTCCCTTTCTTCCTCAGTAAAAGTGTTCTATACTAACAGGCAGTACCTCTAATCCCAACTGGCATTTCCCCTAAGTCGTTCGGATGAAAGGATGATCAGGAGACAGAAGTCTGAACAACATGGTACAAACAACATAAAGTTTATATGAATGTCTGTAAATAAAGGCATTTCATAGTTTTAAAATCTAGTTAATTTTACCAGATGCTTAAGTCTTGGTAGGATATATTTTTTAAAAATTAAATAAAATAGATTCAAGGCCTTTAAAAGACAAACCTTGCCAGTACACTATATTCCCATTTAATGAGTAAGGATTTCTGGGTATCATAGTTTTCTTAAAAAAACCTACATTTACAAAAGCACTTCAGGGGCTTCCCTGGTGGCGCAGTGGTTGAGAATCTGCCTGCTAATGCAGGGGACACGGGTTCGAGCCCTGCTCTGGGAGGATCCCACATGCCGCGGAGCAACTGGGCCCGTGAGCCACAACTACTGAGCCTGCGCATCTGGAGCCTGTGCTCCGCAACAAGAGAGGCCGTGATAGTGAGCAGCCCCCGCTTGCCACAACTAGAGAAAGCCCTCGCACAGAAACAAAGACCCAACACAGCAAAAATAAATTAATTAATTAATAAAAGGTGTTGTTATAAAAAAAAAAGCACTTCAGGGATTTCCCTGGCGGTCCAGTGGTTAGCACTCAGTGCTTTCACTGCAGTGGGCCTGGGTTCAATCCCTGGTCAGGGAACTAAGATCCCGCAAACCGTGCGGTGTGGCCAAAAAAATGACTTCAGCTGTTCTACACAGGTGACCTTATAAACTGATGACACGTGTGATAAAAAGAGGCAATATTAAGATTTATGAGATACCTTATAAATAACATTACTTTGATATTAAATATCAATTAATATTAAATCAATATTTAAGCCAAAGTGGTCTTTGGCAAACCAGGATGTATGGTCACCTTAGCTATAGACCTCATTGTGAGAAACACTGTTACACCGTTACAGAGGAAATATTATGATGGCCTATTTTCTAATTAAAATTTTAATAAAATAGAATCCAAAATGCAAGTCCCATTCTGAATTTTACAAGGCAGAAGGTAGTGATAAAGTGAGGTACGTATGTCTACAAAACCCTAAGCCATTAGTATTAATATCATGTAAAGGAACAATGATGCTCATAAATTAAAAAATGATTAGAAAGGAATATGATTTTTAACATAATTACTTCACAATATAGATATGCCCATATGGATATAAATAAATGACTGAAGTCTGTTTGTATATGTGCAGATTTTAAATTTGCAGCCATATTACACACAGAAAAACTGGAGCTAAAGAATGGCTGTTCAAAAACAAACAAAAAAACTCCAAAAATATGGTAACTTAGTAAACAGCTTAGCCAAAGAACATTTAAAATAGAAGATATTTAATTTTCAGTTTCATATGGTAATCCACAATTAATAAAGACAGGTTGTACTTTCATTAATAAAACATCTATTTTCTCAGCCAAGCAGACAGATGTTTTGTTAAATCTTCACATTGGGAGCACTTAAGGTTTTTCTGAAACTTTAACAGATAAAATTAAGCTAGCCTGAAAGATCTCAGAATGTAAAGTCACAGTAAACACAACCCCCTAGTGTTGATCTTCATTGCAATACACTCTAAAAAGTATATTATCTGTGACCAAAACTAAACCAGACCAAAAACTACCACCAAAACGAAAATTCTAGCACAAATGAATTAATGCAGATTCATAGGCTTAAATATATTTCAGTTATAGTTTCGACTGTGATCGATCACTGTATTATAGAAAAAGGCCTCTACATTAACCACATTTTAAAACAGGTACAGTATAGTCCACATATTTAAAAAATGAAAAACAAAGATTTGGGGGGGTAAAATAGTAATGTTGGTAAAGCCTATCTTATTCATGCTACATACATCCCAGTATGATATGATTAATTAGCTATACAGTATCTTAATATAAAACCAAAAGTGTTATCTCAAATCTGAGTCAATGTCTTTAAGGACTTATCCATCCATTCAATTCAATTAACTGATCTAAGCATTTTTTGTTTTAGTATTATTTTTATATTAGTAGCTAATTACTTCCCCCTTCCAACAGCTTACACTTATTTATATAGCAAGGTTCTAAGCAACGTTTTTCCTTTTATTCTTAAGAAGTATTCTATAGACCTCAAACAGATAAGACTAAAGGGAAAACCTTGAGAAATGAAAGAAATCTCTTGCCACCCTTAGAACTACCAAGTTCTACACTCAAGAGACAATTCTAAATTGAAAAATGAAAAAAAAAATGGGAAAAGGCAATATAAAAATTTCCTAAAATGTAGAAGAAATTAGACTAATTTAGTTTTCTTTAATATCTTCTTTAATAAGACATTACAGCACACAACTGAGCCCCCAGTGTGTCAGTTAAACATGGGGATGTAGATGCATACGAAGGAGAATGGAAACAAGTTTAATCTTAACCCCGTTCCTTTTGGCAACTAATGGCAATACAGAATACAAAAGGAGCAATTCTGTGTATTTTATCAAGTCTTTGAAGACACCGTAACAGTTTTGTAATGAACTTTGCTGTGATCTGTTAGAGAATCTTCAAATTAATGAGGATGTTTAAAAATTGTAATCTTCCCCTTACACCGATTTAAGCCAAACACAAAAAATGGGGACTGCACTAATAATCCTCGCATGAAAGAATTAATGTCTTATGCTATATCAATGCAGCCATCTCCCTATCACTGAGATCTAAAGTTAAATATGCTGTCCTCAGCTGCTTATAAAAAAAGGGTTAAATACAAGAACATAAAGCTTTTATTCTGAATTAGTCAGTAAAACAAATAAAAATTAACCCAAAACTTGTAAAAGGTTTTTAAATGATTTGTTACTAACATAAACATACATATGCTCAAAGCACTTTTAAAAACTTTTAAATTGTAATTTAACCAGAACTTCTGTTAATAACCACTATAAGCAATTAGGCCAACTCTAATGTTCTGGTAACTAACATACTGGGAATTAACAAATAATAAATCTGAAACTGAGGAAATCAAATACATGAAATAATGACTATTTTTAAAGTAAGAGTATAATAGGAGTTACTAAGAAACTATCACCACTGAAGCTTTTCCTTGGAAATATCTTATTTTAAACTTACCGTGAAGACAAACAAGGTGGGCAGAATATGTACAGTTACAAAACAAATGCAGTGATGAGTTACAGCAGAAAGAGGGAATGCATTTTGTAATCCACAGGATCAGATTTGCGGCTCTAAGCAATTACCAGTAAATATTTGAGTGTTCTTCCTATTCTATCAACTTTAAAATTTAAACTGAGTTACAGCGGTTTCACTTGTATTAATAGTTGGCAAAAGCAAATTAGAAGAAACCCAAATTAGTCTGTTTTAACTGGGTAGCATTTACCTCATTCATCGGAACCAACCCACTTCCCCATCCTTAGAGCCAAAAAAATGTGGATATTGGCCTATTTTAATATTTTTCTAGTTCAGACGGAAGTCATACTGTACACAGCCTTTGATTTTAGGAACCAGAACAAAGTAAAAATCAACTACTCACTTAAAAAGGAAAGGAAGGAGAAGGTTCTGGGAATTAACCCAGTCACAAGCCATTCCAATCTTTCTGTTAATGCAAAATCCATTCATAAATTGGCCAAATTGTTATTAACTTCCAAAAACTCCTTTGAAAATTATATTTCAATTTCAAATGAAAGAACTTGAACCATTTTCAAAGAATCAAGTATAATTTATAAAAGATAGGTCTTTACCAGTTCACATATGTGCCATCATATTTTGTATTGAACAGTAGGCTGATTACTTCATTGTGGCATATACTTCAGAACCTAATTTTTCAGATGGGCTGACTGACAATCCAACCACTTTAAGGAATTTATCAGTTATCTACAAGCTAGACCTGGCTGGCAGGTATAGCCAGGTCACACAGCAAGTTTAAATATTCCAACCTCAATCACAAGAAACAATCAGAGGGGAAAATGACACATGATTGCAATATGCTAAGGCAGCAGGTAAGTCATTCTTCACCTAGGTCAGCAGCTGCCAATAAAATCGTGTGCACAAATTTAATGAATGAGTCTGCTCTAGTTTAACTATGAACATGCCCCTGAACTTAGAAAGGGAGATAAGAATTGCGCTTGCAATTCTAGCTGATGAATTCATTAGATTGTTATAAGGCAAATAATGTAGAAAGTTAGAACAGAATTTCTAGAACCATTTATCCTGTGATGTTGTAAAATCAAAGTACTACTTTATTAAATGAGTTATTTTATACAATATGAACATCAATATAATTACAATTGTAAAAAAATTTTTTATAACAAGGATGGACTGATTTTCAGATTTCCAAATCAGAGTCAACTGTACATTTACACAGAATTGTCTTTGCATGAAGCCCAAAAGGGAACAGCATAAAAATGAATGTTTCTGTAGCCCCTTTATTTTTGCTGATCAACAGTTTGTTAGAAAAGCAGCTGCAGGTTTGTTACCTAAGGTCTGAGACAGGAGAAGAGTCAAAGGTGTCACGAATTCACCTACAAAACATAAGCAGGATTTTCGGTGAACGTAAGCATTACACAAATGTGATTTATATGCCTTTCAAATGTCTTTAAAAAAAAGCACAGGATGAATTGGGAGACTGGAATTGACATATATACACTAACATGTACAAAACAGATAACTAATAAGAACCTGCTGTATAAAAAAATAAATAAAATTCAAAAAAAGCACAACGTGCCTAAGCTACGACGTTAGTCTGACAGACCCGTCAGCTGAATTTGTAGAAACAGACCTTTGATGAATTTACTTTAAAAATAATACTCATGCATATACCACCACCATTTAGAAAAAAAAATCCAACCACACAAAGTATAAACTGATTTATTTTCAAGCAACTGCCTAGTTTATACAGTGAATGCCTACATTTTGCCTTACATTTTAACGTACTCAGAAGCTCTACTAGGCATTCTAAGTAAAACACCTGCAAAAAAGCACTCATAAACTTTGGTCTGCATCACTTCTGGGAGCAAGACTCTCAAATACCTTTATAATAGTTATTTTCTTTAAACTGAAAACTTTCTTCCATTCTTGGACCAGAGTGGGCCAGCATCACCTCATGCCATTTTTGCCTACAGTGGTTAAAAACGTGGATGTTTCAAAGGCACTGAAAGGATACGGTCTGGGAAAATGGACTTTTAACAATTGTAAAGTTAAACATTAACTTCAGTAATGAAGTCTCAGCTAGACGACAGAAATCAATTTTACAATTACAGAAGATAATTCTGCTCTCCTATACAGCCCTGCCATTAACGAACAAAAAGAAGAAAAGGTCAATTACCTGTAAACAACTTTATGCCTGAACATCAGCTAATTCTGGAGGAAGTGGAGTCTTAGGATGCTTGCTCTCAAAGTGCTGCTTGAAGGTCTTAGGGTCTGGCATTTGTGTCTAATTCAAAAAATTGTGCAAAAAAGAAGAGTTAGACCTCATTCATGAAATAAAAATGTGCTAACTTTTAAAGTCCTGAGACTACTCACGATTGACAACTATTGCAAAACACTTTTAAATTCCTATAACTTAATGGCTGTCATATGAAAAAGGACCCTGTAACAAAGAAATTCCTAGCATATTCCCACATTTCACATATAAAGGGTCACACAGAATGAAGTATTCTTATCTGATTAACAGTAAACAATAGGTAACATTTACCGAACACATTATGTTAAGCATGTTACCAGAATTCTCATAGAAACTTCCAGTGATCTTTTTTTTTTTTTTTTTGTGGTACACGGGCCTCTCACCGTTGTGGCCTCTCCCGTTGCAGAGCACAGGCTCCGGACGCGCAGGCTCCGGACGCGCAGGCTCAGCGGCCATAGCTCACGGGCCCAGCCGCTCCGCGGCATGTGGGATCTTCCTGGACCAGGGCACGAACCTGTGTCCCCTGCATCGGCAGGCGGACTCTCAACCACTGCGCCACCAGGGAAGCCCCCTTCCAGTAATCTTAAATCAGGTCCTACTATCCTCATTTTATGTGCTAAGGAAACTAAAACCTAGAGATTAATTTGTCCAATACCTATGGTTAACCTAGTACTAGGTACTTCAGATCTCAAATACTACACTATACTGACTTACCTAGGCAAGGACCTTCAATTATTCTTTAGCACATTACATTAGACAAAACATGAATTAAACATTTTTTGTTGTTTTGAGTTTTTAAATATATGAGCTACTCTAATACTTTAAGGTCAAGGTATTTCTTCATTAGTAATTTAGCGAAATTTACTTTTACCTTGCCTCTTTCCAAACAGAATTTGAAGCTGCTCAATTTCATTATTTTGAGTATATCAAAGCTCACTATGAACAGGTTATTTAACGTAATAGATTTCCTCTCTTAGATTAATGAGAACTTTTATGTAGTTAGGAACTTCTATTTCATCAGTAATGACTTCAATAAATGATAAACTTTAGTCCAGGAATCAAGTCTTATCAAGATCCCTTCCCATCCCTACTACCAATTCTACCTAGGCATAGGGCTTTGGGGGGAACAAAAAGTTTCTTGTAACTGGATCAACCTCACTATGCACTTTTCCTTTGGCACTTTTATTCACTAACTTCAAGGGTAGTGAGCTTGAACAAACAGGCTAAAAAGAGACCCTGGCTTGGAATTTAAGAAAAACTTCTTTAAGGCAGTGTGGTATAGTGGTCTAAAAGGTGGGCTCTGGAGCTGGACCTCCTGGGTTTAGATCCTAGCTCTTCTGCATACTAGCTGGGTGACCCTGCACAAGTTATTCAGTCCCCATGACTCAATTTACTCTCCCGTAAAATGAGAATAAAAGTACTTTATGCCATAGGGTTGTTATGTGAATTAATGGGCTCATGCATGTAAAACACTTCGATCAGTGTCTGGCACCTGGTCAGCACTCAATAGCAGCTGTTATGATTATTCTTCAAATCTAATAAAACACCTTAATTCTAGTAAAAGCCCTCAATGTGAATATACTCTATTTAGTTTTGCAGACATCATAACTATGAATGTAGCGAAGAAAAAAAAAAACCAATTAATATGACCAGAGGTATATTACATAGCTCTAAATTAAGAATGTAAATCTGACCTTTTTTAAAGTTCAAAGTGTTGCCCTTAAGAAGACATCTTTATTCTCCATGAGGAAACGGATTTTGCTTTGTTCACTCCTTTTCACTAACACCAAGAGAGCTGTGCCTGGCCAAAGGAGCTATCCAAAACATGTAATTGTTGGGACTCCTCTGGCGGTCCAATGGTTAGGACTCCACACTTCCACTGCAGGGGGCACAGGTCCAACCCCTGGTCAGGGAACTAAGACCCTGCATGCTGCACGGCGTGAACAACAACAACAAAAAGCATATATATGTGCGTGTGTATATATGTGTATACACGTATATATATAAAACTGTTGAACAGATAAATGAAGACGGGTTCCTAACAAAACCAGTTCTCAAATCTCCTATTTCAAGTAAAGCATTTATCTCGCCATGTTTGCAAAATTTTAACCTATACAAACCAATCTCTAATGAAAGAACTGTCCACGAGAAAGCTAAGTCTTTCAATTCCCCTTACCCTACAGACAGTGCAGGTATATATTAAGGCAGCTTTGGCAGCAGCCTTTTGGTCATGTCCTTGTTTCTTCTTTTGTCCAGCTTGCTTTTTGGCATTTTTCTGCTGAGACTGAATCTTCTGCTGTCCACGAGCCATATCTAAAAACAGAAGTTGAGGCATTAAAGTGAAATCTAAGTATGATAACACTCTCAGAGTTACAAATTCTCATATACAATGCTACTAGAGGATAAATTGATATAACCACTGTAGAAAACTAGTCGTCTACTCTATAATCTCACAATTCCACTCTTGGTATATATTCAACAGAAGTGCAGGTACACTGTTTCTAAAACTGGAAACAATCCAAATGCCTACTAATAGTAAGATGGATACATAACTTGTAGCAGATTTCTACAATGGAATACTATGCAGCACTCAAAGAGAAGAAACTATTGTTAAACAACATGGTTATATCTCAGCATTAAGGAAAGAAGCCAGATACAAAGAACATATTGTTGTATAAAGTTCAAAACAGGCAAAACTAATCTAGGAAGTAACGCTGGGAAGAAAGGGCATGAGGGGGATTTTTGGGGTACTGATAATGTTCTGTGTCTTGATCTAGGTAATGGTTATACAGGTTGATTCACTTGTAAAAATTCACTGAGCTGTACACCTAAGAATTATACACTTTCTTATATGTAATCTTCATAAGTTTACCAAAAACAGTTTAGCCCCTTCCTCAATCATTTGTCTGATCATTTTGCAAAGGTACTCTCCCCTTCCAGTATTCACTGTGCAACCTGAGATTCTTACAACTTTAAGAGAAATAAAAGCTGTCATCTAATGTCTCTAAAGGAGCTCATATGAGCAATGGAAACCGTTCTCTTAAATACTCAGGTTTCATGAAACTACTGTGCTATTCTTTCTTAAAAAAAAAAAATGGTATTCATAGGATTGCTGGACAAATTATTAAATAAGATTAAGGGTACCTTTACAAAAATGAAAGATACCACTTTTTACTACTGATTATCTGAAATGAACATGGGTTAAAAATTAAGGGAAAAGAACTACTTTTATTTTTTCATTAAAATTAAAGACTCCTTTAAGACAACACAAGTTAAATCTGTTCATAAAAGGTCTATAATGAGTCTCAGCTGCTTTTTAAATACTTTAAAATAGGATCTAAGGAGAATTCCTATGGATAGTTTTGACTAGCACTGCAATTAAATTTTAAACTTTTAAGTCATTGCAGGACATGAACACACAAAGGATCTATAACTTCACCCGAAAATAGTGCTAGCTTTTTCTGACTGGAACCTTAACTAGTTAACAGGTATGAGGTCAAAGCATTTCATTGAAACACCTGAGCTTCTCCCAAAAAGAAAAAGGGAAACTGAAAAAATAAACACATCAATTGGACGAGTTCCCACTAGCATTAAACACTGAACCAGAAGTCAAAATATAAGGAAGGATCAATCCTTTTCTAGGAAGCTGGCTGAATATTTTAACAAATTACAAAAATGTTTAGTATGCTAGCCTAATATTGGAACCCCATTCTCACCAAATAAAGGTAAATATTACCAGACGGCTTAGCCCTTGAAGACTATCATTTCTGTTATTTTTTAAAAACCAAATTCTTATTAATTCCAAGCTGAATGAAATGATTTTTTTTAACGTATATTTATGGCACGCTTACAAACCAATTCCCATGGAAACAGATTTGGATACTTTTGTATTATTTGGATGATAGGTATTCAATCTTTATGCATCCTAATGTTTATAGCATTCTTAATGTCTCAATGCCTTAGTATCAATACCTTATGTTAGAATACTTCAGTTCTCTCATAGATCTGAACTCTTCCACACGATGTATGCTATGCTACGTATGTTAATACACTGTGTGGGTAACCTCTTAATTGTTTTACATAGGAAAAAAAACTTATAAAATTCTAAGCTACTAATTCTAGAGGTTTCTTTGATATCTAGAAGTTATTAGCTATTTTGATAACATTTTCAAGCAGTGATCTGTAGAAAGCAATGCCATTAGATACACATTATTTTTAACTTTTGCAGTTACCATTTCTCCTCAAATATAACATTAACAATACATTTAACCCATTTTCATTGTCATCTAACAAAAGTAACAAAAAGCCATAGAAGTTTTAATAAATAGAAGACTGTGGTTGCTTGTTCTTATTTTTAAAACAGAAAACACCAGGTAAGGGAAACTGAATCAGTCTAAACGCCTGAGGTAGGCCCCTAAGTTCTAGCAACACGCTGCACTGATTTCCTTTCTGAAAGCAGAAATGCAAACGAACAAACCACCTGCTTTTGGACAGCTCGACTTAGGACTTACTCTCAAGCCAGCTGAGTTTTCTACAAGATCTAAGCGTAACCAAGCATAACTTCTCCTTGACTAAATGCAACAAACGGAGGAGCAAGAAGTCCTTTATAAGCACCTAAAAGCTGGCTTTTAATATAACTCTTATTTTGTATGGTCTTCTGAGGGGGCTCCAAAGAGGGAAGCAGTAGAGGGAATAAGGAGTTCTTCCAAAATGAGGAGCTCTTACAGGAGGCAACAAGTAAGCACTGTCCCAAAGATCCTCTTAAAACCAAACAAACGAGTAAGAGAGAAATAGATTTTGGATCCAAGAAGTAGGATCATTCTCCACAAGCATCTAAAACGAAGAGGCCCAAGCAGTGACCAACATCCTGACCCTAGCCTTTTAAATACATCCCTTTTGGCGAGGAGAGAGGATGAAAGCACCAGCAGTGAGATCTCTTTCACCCAGCACTTCGCTGAGCCCAGCTGCAGCCCAGCGCGCCTTCCTTCCCAAACCGACCTCTCCCGCCTGGGAGAGCTCCCTCCTCTCTTCTGCCACCCAGAGCCACACAACCCCTACCTACCCGCCACTCCACACGGACCCCGGCCCGAGACGCGCCTCCTGGAGGCCTCGGCTGCCCGAAACCCGGCCCCTTCGGCCACAGGGAGCCCCAGCCTCGAGAAACCGACCAGCTGCTGTCGCCGGCGGGTTACCGCTCCGCCGCCGCGGCCGGCCTGCGACCCGGCCACCTGCAGGGCCTGGCAGACGCCCGAGCTTCCCGTCCTTCCGCGGCCCGCGCCGGGACCGGACGGGCTCGGCCACCCCCAGGGAGGCGGGGCAGGCCGGCGGCCCCTCGCGACCCGCGATGACCCCCCACGGTCCCCGCCGACCCCGCCGGCAGGGCCCCCACCCGGCTCCCAGGAGTCCTGCGGCGTCAGCACCGCCCCACAGCCGCTCACCCGGGCCGGGACAGTCTTGCGTCGGAGGAACCGCGCAGCGCGAGAGGGCCGGGGAAGGTGGCCGGAGGGAGAGGAAGGGGAGCGCAGCGCGCCCAGTACCGCTTCGGCCTCCTCCACCCGCCAAGGAGGGGAAAGGGGAGAGCCGGGAGCACAACAGCCCGCGCCTCGCACCCGCCGCCGCGCGCGCCCGCCGCCGCCTCAGCCTAGGGGGAGGCCACTACACCTCGTGCTCGCGCACACCGCACAGCTCTCCCAGTCGCCCCAGCGCAGCCTGCTCAGCGCAGCCCCCGCCCACCGGCCTTCCTGCCGCGGCCTCCCTCCGCCCCCACCCGCTTGCGCGCCTGCGCCTCTTCCGGTTGCGCGGGCCAATGGCAGCGCGCCCCTATTACATAAGCGAGAGGGGGCGGGGCCTGGCGGGGACGGTGGCCCCTCAGAGACTGGAACGGCGGGGGACGTCGCGCTCTGTCCCCGGCGCACCGCCTCCCCGTTTTCTTGCGTGCTCCATCTGGGCGGCTTCAGCCGGCCCTAGGAGCCGCGTGATCTCGGTCCTGGCGGGTGACGGCCCGCAGTGTGATTCACAAGTCGCTTGCTCACTCACTGGGGCGGCGGCCAGACTTCTACCCGTGCGTCCCCTCTCACGAGCTTCCAGTCTCGGCGGCGTCCTCCTGTGCCCCGGCCTGGGGAGGATCCCGGAGAGGGGCGCCAGCGCCGCGGCGGTGTGGGTCACCGACCCCGGAGCCCGCCACCCTGGCACACCGCCGCTTCCGCCCCCAGTGCGGCCGGCGGGCCGGGAGGCCCTGAACTGGGACGCGCGGCCTTTGTTCTCTCACCACCTACCTTTTACCTCGTTCCCATGGAAACCTCAGTTATTTGACCATTCTGGGGGTTTTAGTGAGTTCAAGATTCACGCCTGACTGTCTCACTGAAAATTGCCGGCTAGGCCCCCCTGACCGTTTCAGGCTGACTACTTAACAATATACTGAGTTGTTAATACTTAGGGAAATGGATAAGTTGTGGGTTTTTTGGTCTTGATTTATAGGCCACGACAGCTAATTTCCAATATCAGAATCAAGAGTGATGGCGATTGTAACGATTATTAAATGTTTATCTGGAAAGGGCAGCATGTTTAGACGTCGGCTTTTTCTTAACCTTCCCCCTCCCGCCCCCCAGCACACATTGGTTTGTAATTAGAACTACAGATAAAACAACAAAGGAGGGTCTTGCATTTGACTGTCCCACCTTGACCCATAGCCTCCGCTCTCCCAAATTTGCCTGTCAGTGCCCCAGGAAATGTTAGTTGAACATAAGTACATAGCACGTTTTCTGGACTGGTATATGTGTATCGCCAAATTGTTTAAAATAGCCAGGAAGGGGTTAACTGCTTATTGCATTTGGGTGGCATACGACAACGATCTGGTTGTTCAGTCCTTCCTTTTCAACCTCATTTCAGATCCTCTCGCCTTCACTTTGCACGCCCTTCCTTCCGTATTGCAGTTTTAAGTTACATGTTCAAATTTTATTAATATCTCTCCAGTATTCAATCGTAAGCTCATTTTCACCACTATATACCCAGTGCTTAGCAGCGTATGAAACATGGTAGGAATTGAAAAGAAAGCAGGACTTGAAAAGAAAGCAGGAATTGAAACATGGCAGGGATTGAAAAGAAAGCAGGACTTATAGTGACATTTCATGAAACCATAGCTTAATTATTAGTAGTCACCATAACCATAATAACTATATTAACCTGGCTAATAGGAGGTGGATGAGGTACTTGGAAAACCTAAAGACAGGAAATCTGTGTTTGTCTACCCATGAACGAAATTGGACAACAGAAAGGGATAGGGAAATCTGATTGGCAAAGATAAGTCTTTTTAACTAGAAAGGTGATTTCTGTTGTGAAATAGGGTTAATATGTCACTTGTTACCAAGGCCTAGATGATATATTCATTCATACCAAGGCCTAGATGAAATATTCATTAAAACCAGTGTTTCTTAAATTTTTGAGTTATACCACTTTCAAGAAATCGGTAAATGCTATGGACTTTGCCCCTAAAAATTTCATGTACATATAAACTTATCCCCATTGGTAAAATTTCTGAACCTTGGTACTAATCACATTTTGGGCCGGATAATTCTTTGTTATGGGGGCTGTCCTAGGGACCATAAGATGTTTAGCAACATCCCTGTCCTTCTACCCTCTTGATGTCAGTAGCACTTCATCTCCAGTTGTGACAACTGAAAATGTCTCCAGACATTGCCCAATGTCCTCTTGGGTCAAAATCTTCCCTGGTGGAGGACCACAATAGAGGATATGGTATTATGATAACTTTATATGATGGTTAGGGCATTAAAATACAAAGGGAAAAAAATGAAAGAAGGAATGAATAAGATTCAACACCTGTGAAGTGACAAACAGTAAACGAAAGGCAGATGATTCGCATAACTACCAGCTGGTGTCCTACTTATGTTATAGAAATGTGACAGCGAACGGGATATGAACTCCTTAGAAAAATTTTTATACGTAGTTCTGGTTTTAATCGTGAATGCTACAGTACTTCTACTGACTGTTTTTCCTCTTCTGCCTGAGACAATTACTCTAGGTTAATATGCAGTAAGCCTGTGCCTATTTTCTATCCCAATCAGATTATAATGCTGCTCTGAAGACCTGAAAGACTTATTTATTTATTTGTATTCATGTCAGATTTTCAGGGGTGAAAGAGCTGGTGGTTAGTCAATATATTCTTTCTCAGATAAACATGGATTTATCTGTGGCATGTAGGTTAATATCTAAATGTAGTGAAGTGCTGGGAATTCCCTGGTGGTCCAGTGTTTAGGTGCTTTCACTGCTGAGGGCCCAGCCTGGGTTCAGTCCTTGGTCGGGGCACTAAGATTCCACAAGCCACGCAGTGTGGAAAAAAAAAAAAAAGTAGTGCAGTGCTCAGCTCAAGGGTTCATTGGAGAACAAAGGAGGCAAAGGAGGCGATTTCATGCCCCTATAGTCCCTTCCATCTAGTGACAAATAATAACAACAGCAATAATGACAATGATAGACTCAAAACAAAAATGTTACCTTTGCTGGCTCTTCTTCCTCTGCTCAACTTCTACTTGTTGAGATTTCTCAGGGCTGCAAGGTGGATTCTCTTGTCTTCTCTACCCGCTTAGCCCAAAGGGAAAAGTTGTGGCTTTAAATAATGAACTTCATACGGCCCCACATTTCTATCGCCAGTTCAGACCTCTCTTCTGATTCCAAATTAATATACCCAAATGCTTATTTTTCATTTCCACTTCAACGTTTCACAGACATTTCACATTTGGTGCTATATGGTATTGAATCTAAGAAGCAATTGATTGTAAGTCACATTTATGTCCACCAAGATAAAAAAATTGCTTCCAGTTGAAGGCATTATACTAAAATACTCTTGATTGTAAGACATCACAATTTCAGAGATGTTAAAGTAGGTTTAAAAATAATGTGATGTATTAGAATAGCATCAAGAAGAACAAAATACTTAGAAGTAAACTTACCAAAGGAAGTGCAAAACCTACATTCCGAACACTAAAAAACATTGTTGAAAGATATTAAAGAAGTCATAAATAAATGGAAAGGCATTCCGTGTTCACGGATCAAAAAACTTATTATAAAGGTGGCAATAGTCCCCAAAATGCTCTGCATATTCAACACACTTCCCTATCAAAATCTCAACTGATGTCTTTGCATAAATCACCAAGGTTATTCTGAAGTTCATTTGGCAGTTCTAAGGACCCCAGATGTGGTATAGTAAGAAATGTATTTGGTTTTTGTCCCTGTCCCATTCCTAAAAAGTTTCTAAAACCCCCGGAATGTTTGAATGATAGGAGTGTTTTTTGTAATTTATAAGAAGCTCCTTTTGAGCATACCTGAATTTATGCTAATAAGGTGATTTAGGTTGGGGGCCATAGATAGCCTCAGAATGGGGCTGGTCACCAGAAAAACCCAGTTATTAAATGATTAGAACTTTCAGCCCCACACACTGACCTCAGAGAAGGTAAAGAGGAGAGGGCTGGAGATCAAGCTCTATGAAATCTCTTGAACAAGATTTGATGAGCCTTCCGGTTGGTGAATGGGGCCTTCACATGCTGGGAGGGTAGCACATCCCAGTTCCATGGGGACAGAGGTTCCTGTGTCTAGAGCCCTTCTAGACCTCACCCTCTGTCCTATATAACATCTTTTATAATAACAGTTTAAACATAAGTAAATGTTTCTTTGAATTCTGTGAGCTGCTCTAGCAAATTAAATCAAAGCTACAGAGTAGATTGTGGGAACCTCTGATTTATAGCCCATCAGTCAGAAGTGCAGGTAACAACCTGGACATGCAATAGGCATCTGAAGTGGAAGTGAGGGCAGTCTTGTAAGACTAAAACCTTGTAAGACTAAATCCTTAACCTGTGGGATAGGGTGCTATCTGTAGGTAGATAGTGACAGAGTTGAGTTACATTGTAGGACACCTACCCGGTGTTGCAAAATTTCTTGATGTTTGGACAACCTACATATCTGGTATCAGCAGTGAAGTAGTGTAGTGAAGTGGGTATTGAGAGTAGAGGAGACACACACAGGAGTGTTCTTCCTCACACCAGAAGAGCCAAAACAATGTTGAAAAGAGGAACAAAGTTGGAGGGCTTACACTTTCCAATTTCAAGACTTGCTACAAAGCTACAGTAATCAAGACTGTGGTACAGGCATAAGAATACACATATAGATCAATGGGATAGAACTGAAAATCCGGAAGTAAATCTTCACATTGATTTCAAAATAGGGGCCAAGAAAATTCAATGAAGAAAGGACAGTCCTTTCAATAAACGGTGCTGGGACAACTGGATATTCAAATGCATATAATGAAATTGGACCCCTACCTTGCACCATATACAAAAATTAATCAAAAATGGATCACAAACCTAACTGTATATGCTAAAACTATAAAATTCTTAGAAGAAAATATAGGAGTAAACCTGCATGATCTTGGGCTAAGCAAAACCTTCTTAGATATGACACTTAAGGCATTGATAACAAAAGACATAACCCAGTTAAAAAATGGGCAACAGATCTGATTAGATATTTCTGCAAAGAAGATATACAAATGGCCAATATGTACAAGAAAAGATGCTCTCCATCATTAGCCAAAAGCAAAATCAAAACATTGAGATAGTACTTCACA